TAGAGCTAAGTAAGACCCACCCAACCCCGTAAAATTATATAGTTTGAGGAAAATATTCATACTTTGTATGTATAAATCAAAATATCATTTGCTCAAGTAATCAAATAATTTTAATAACAATAAAATAATGGGTATCAAAATAAGCTTTTGTTCCATATCATATATACAGTTTGGAAAATAATATATAGTCAAGTGCAAATGATTCATTCGGTTTTCTTCCAAAATCCCTAAAATACCTTTAAAGAAGTTGACGAAACTCAAGATTCTTCAAGCCAAATGAGCTGTTGTTGTGTACGACTCGTCTTGGAATTCCGGCTCCCACCGTCCATGTTGAAGATTATTTTATTGTGATTCAAGTTTGTCAAAAGTCTTGTTATAGTTAGCTTATTTAATAGCCTTTTATAGTATTATTCCTTTTGTAATAAATAGGCTATATAAGGAATGAGTCCAAATATGTTAGGCCCATATCCCTAGGTTTACCGAAACCTACCTGCAGTTATATATATGTGCGTAAGGCTTAGGTATTCAGTTAACACTCGTATAAAGTATTCATCATTCTGTAAGCATTCTTGATATTCAATAGAAGAGAGTTTTCACCGATCATTCATATTCATATCATTGTTTGATTCTCTGCTTCTGTTATATCATGATGCATCCATCCTGCTGTTAGATAGATTAATCTCATATATTGGGACCAACAACTGGTATCAGAGCCGATCGAGAAAAGATCAGATGAAGAACTGCGAAGAAATTACCTTGTTTTCTGTTTTTTTGATATTTTAGCATTATAGCTCCCGTAATCTCGTTTTTATCGAATCTTTGTAAAAGTTATACTATTGAAATCGCCATCTTGAAACGATTCAGCAGTATATCTTACTTTTCGATACCTGTGATCTTTCAATATTGGATTTCTCAATATTTCTATATCGAAAAGCAGGTTTCTCGACATTGCAGAAGGTTTTTCGATTCAAAAACCTTACAGAAGACTTCTCGACATTCAGGACTCTACAGAACAGTTTTTAGAATTGCAAAAATCGAATTTTTCTAAGTGCAGGATCTCGACATCAAGACCTCGAAATCTTAGTTCTCGAACTGAGTTCTCGATATCAGCTTCTCGAGAACTACTTCTCGATATTTGACTTCTCGATATACGTTTTCGATAAACAAGTTCTCGAATTATATTACTCAAACACAAAGTTCTCGAAGTCCAATATCGAAATCTCATTTCTCGATAAGCTCTTCTCGAACTCTCAGATTTCGAACTTAGGCTCTCAAAATCTAGGATCTCGATATTCTATACTTAGAATTATTTACTGATCAATTCTCGAACGGTCAATTTTAAAACAAACAGCAAAATGGACGCCCTATCTCTTGGAAACAGCAGCAATCCTCCAATTCTTAGAAGAGGAGAGTACCAGATGTAGAGGAGCCGTTTTCTGAATTTCCTCGAAAGCAAAGATAACTCTTCAGCGATGCTGGAATCGTTGACTCAAGGACCCGCTGAGCTATGGATAAACGTAGCAGGAAATGAAGACAATAATCCTCTAGTGATTCCTGTTAGAAGACTGAAAACCGCGACTGAATATACTGAAGTGGATAGACTTAGAGTGAGAGCGGATCTCATGGCGAAAACATTTCTTCTTCAAGTGATCTAGAATGACATATACATCCTGATTGACAGCATGCAAACTGCTAAAGAAATGTGGGATGAAAAGGTAAAATAGATACACGGGACTGACATTGGTTTAAAGACAAAGAAAGCCAGTACGCTAACCGCTTATGATTCATTCAAATCCATGCCTGGGGAGCCACTTCATGAGACCCATAACAGATTTGTTAAGCTGCTCAACGAGCTGAGAAAGATTAATGTGTTTAAGTCCAATATGGAAATGAACATACAATTTCTGTCTAGTTTAAACCCAGAATGGAGGAGGACTGTGAAAAATGTGAGACAAAACCTGGATCTTGATGAGGTGGATCTTTGTACTCTTCATGATCATCTGCACCAGTTTGTTGTTAATGACACTGCTGATATGGAAGGATAGTATGCTGCTGATCCACTGGCCCTCATGATGGAGGCACAGCCAAAGAGATCAACCAAGATTCAGAAAAAGAAAAAGAAGACAGTCGTGGTGTCTGAAGAAGAAGAGAGTGAAGAAGAGTTTGACGTGGAATCTGAACTGGCAGAGTTACATAAGAAGATGGCACTGCTAACAAAGAAGTTTGTGAAGAAGAACAGTTCCTCAAACAGGCTGAGAACCTCCTCATCAAATTACAAACAGAAGCACCATGATCAGAATGCCTCTGGAAAGGTAGTGGCAGCCGAAGAACCTCCCAAATGCTTCGATTGTGGGAAAGTTGGACATGTCATCACAGACGGTCGCTTGCCAAAGAAGAGGGACGCAAATTATTACAAACAGAAAATGCTATGGAAGAAACAGAAGATGTTCATGGAAAAAGAGGATGAAGAGAATGTTGCACTGTTAGCAGAGAAGAATCATTGGGTGGAGGATTCTTCTGATGATGAGGATGAGGAGAACTTAGCCTTGATGGCTTTTGTTGAGAATGAAGATGAAGAGGGTGATGTTGTGATCCCCGAAAGTGAAGGCTCGAGTAGCAATGTAAGTGTTTCTAACTCTCTATGCTCATGCTCATGTCAAAGTCGGTCCTTACAAGATAAGAATGACATCATTAAAGAACTAAAGAAGAGAATAGACAACAATCACAAGATCTTAGCAGAAAAACTAGACCAAAATGCCTCACTAAGCATACAGCTGGACAATGCAAAAGATAAAGTGAAAAAGGTGACTCAAGAAACAGAAAAGCTAACACTTAAGATAGCTGATCTGACTAAAAGGTTGAAAGAAACTGAGACAGAGCGAAACAAAGAAAAAGCTGATAAAGATTTTCTTCATAATCAAAGAAATACCCTTTACAGCAAAATCAAAGATCTTGAGGACTTAATTTCTAAGAAAGGGCAAACTGAACAAACCATTTTTCTAAACCAAAATAAGGACAATCATTTCTACAATTCCAAAATAGGACTTGGTTTATCTAATCCGGGTAATTTAAAGAAAGTGAACTATGTTCAACTTTATGACTTAAATTACATGGGTCTAGGACTGACCAAGTTAATGTCCTTTATTTGTGAAAAAGAAACGCTTGTAAAAGAAGAAGAAGAAGAAAAGAAGGCTAATCATGGAACTAAAATTTCTTTTAGTTATGATGCTTTGAACAAAAGTTATGAAACCGATGAACCTGAGTATTCAACTGATGAAAGTGTGAGCACTTATTCTCCTCAAACGAAAGTTGTGTGTGACCAGGAACCCCCTTCGACCTCTAAGTCCAGTGGAGGAGAACCCTGCATCCCTCCATTGGTCAAAAAGTTGCAAGACTTACACATTTCTATAGAAAATCAAATAAAAAGTTTTGAAGAGGAAAGAAAAGTTTTTGAAAGAGAGAGGGAGAGACTGTTAAGAGAAAATTCTCAGTGCAATACAGCTTCCCAATCAACAAGTGATTCTGATCCAAATAATGCTCACACTGACAAAAACAAAGCTAAATTTTCTGAAAAGACATCCACCCACTCCACGTCTTCTTTGATCTCAGGGAAAGAAATGAGTAGGAGACTGGAGAAGAGGGAAGAGTGGAAGCAAAAGAGAAAAGAAATAGCTGAAGGAAAGAAGAAAATGTTTTCAGAAAAGAAGTCTAGTTCTAGCTCTAGTTCTCTATTTTATTCCAAAAATAAATGTAGCTCTGACTCATATCAGCAATCTAGTAGTAGTTCAGTCTTGAGTCCCAAACTGAATGTATCTAATGGCCTGTTTGGATTGATGTTAGGGAGTGTTAGTAATGGAAGTGTTAGTAAGGTCGACCCTAAAAACATAAAATGTTTCGACATCTCACTTCGAATCTCTTTGCCACAGGTCTGATGGTTTGCCTTTTTCATCTCTTCTCCTTACTCGTTTCTTCTGGCTCAAGGTAAAATTATTAACACTTCCATTATTAACACTTCATTCATTTGACTCTCCCAAACAAGGTAAAATTATGTCTAACACTTACACTTCCCTTCCCTTTTGGGCCCTTACTAACACTTACTAACACTTCCATTACTAACACTTCCAAACACTCCATCCAAATAGGGCCTAAGGGGGGTGTCCCCAATATGGATTCTTACGGATTTTAAAAGAATTTAGAATTCCATCAGAATCTGGGTGTCCTCAACTTGGATTTTCAAAACTCCTTTAAAATCCGGGTGTCCTCAATTACTCCATGGATTTGTTTCTCTTGGATTTCAGTTGATTTTAATGGAATTGGTATGAAAAATAACACTAATCCAATTCCACAATTCTCTTTGCCTCACCCCTCGGATTTGAAATCCACCCACCCGTCCGTACGACTCTTCTCAACTCTTCTCACCTGTTTGTTTCCCTGGCTTGATAGCAACCACAAAACCACATGGCAGAGAAAGAGGATAATCAAAAGATTGGGCTTTGCTCTCTTGCTACGAGATTCTTCATCTTCGTCGCCGTCAACCAACCCGCCGCCGCCCCCTTTCTTCCCTAGAAGATGGTTTCTTTGGTAGTGACCCATTCTGTATAGAGCTGGATTCTTTACATTGATGGAAAAGCTGAGAGCTTTTGTGTGTGTTTGTCTATATTGCGAAATGGGTTCGTGCAGTTTTGCTTCAGAGATGGGCAGTATAGGAAAGAAACGTAGTGTGATGTGATTCATACAAATTGGTAGTGGTTCTAGTGAATGTATATCCGATGACTAGATGAGAGAATCGGATCCGACTCGAGAAGAAAGCGGAAGAAAAGAGCTGAAAATTCCACGTTCAATGATGAGTAGAATTTCATAGAATTTCATATAATTCCATATGAATCTTATGGAATCTTTAAAATCATTTAAAATCCGGGTCGCAGACACTCCTAAGTCATCCTTTGAACTTTGTCATTCTAATAATTAAAAGTACGCATTTGGTCTTGGTTATTCTGGTTCTCATTCTCCTAATTATGAATCTGATGATGTGAAGAATGTGAAAGTGAGAAGAGAAATAGAATGCAGTAAAATTAAAGGCACCTAGGAGACGAAGAGCAAGCTCTCCAAAAAAAATACGGAGTAATTTGATTAGAACTAAATTTTTGAATCCAAGCTGCCGCCGAGATTCTTGAGTTAGCACAGGTACAGCCCACTTGTATATAGGCACAAGAAGAAGATGAAGCTTTCCCTTAGTCCCCATAAACATAATTTAATGAATTCCAGACCCAAATCCAAGCTTATCTCCAACGTGCAATCCCACTGCACACTCTATAATAATGCAGAAGAAGAACATAACCGTATTGACGGTAGCGACGAAAATTTCATTGGAACCCTAAACGCCATCGTTAGGGGAAACAAGAGCTGGAAAGTCGCCCTCAACGACCCGTTCATCTCGACCCGAATCAAACCTCCCCACATCGAGCGGGTCCTTGTGCATAACCTACACGACTCCAGGTTAGCTCTGCGCTTCTTCAATTTTCTAGGCATTCATTCCAACTTTCACCATTCCATTGCATCTTTCTGCATCCTCATTCACGCCTTAGTACAATCAAATCATTTCTGGCCTGCCTGTTCTCTCCTGCAGACCCTTCTTCAAAGAGGATTGAATCCCAGATTAGTTTTCCATGAACTTCTCAATTGTTACAAAAGATTCAATTTTTCTTCCACTTCCGGTTTCGATTTACTGATTCAGAGCTACGTTCAGAATAGGAGCTTATTAGATGGTGTGTTGATTGTGAGGCTTATGAAAGATTGTGGAATAATTCCAGAGGTTAGGACTTTAGGTTCTGTTTTCGGTGGATTGATCCGAATAAGGAAATACAAATTGGTTATCAGTTTGTTTGACGAGGTTTTGTGTTCAGGCGTCCAACCAGACTGTTTCATGTCCACTGCCGTGGTCAAGAGCTGGTGTGAGCTCAAGGAAGTTGACAAAGCCAAGGAAATGGTGAAACGCGTCGAGAAAAATGGGCATGAATCGAATGTCAATATGTATAACACTTTGATCCATGGGCTGTGCAAGGGCGGGAGGGCAGAGGAGGCAGTTGAGGTGAAGATCTCATTGGGTCCAAATGGGATGAATCCGGATGTGGTCACATACCAAACCCTTGTTCTTGGGTTCTGTAGAGTCTTTCAATTCCTCATTGCCCGAGATTTGGTATGTGAGATGTTGGATTTGGGTTTAGTTCCTAGTCCCGGTGTTCTATCTGCTGTGGCTGATGGGCTAGTAAGGAAAAATGGTGATATTATGGACGCCTTTTCCTTGGTGCATCAGGCAATGAATGTGGGTGCTGTTCCAGGTTTAGTTTCATACACTAATTTAATGAGTTTGCTATCTAAAGAAGGAAAGTTGGAGGAAGTAATGATTCTTTGGGATAAAATGAGACGGAATGGATTATCACCGAACGGTGTAACTTACTCTGTTATCATAGACACTCTGTGCAAAAATGGGAAACTGACTTCCGCTATAGAGGTCTTCAACAGTATGGAAGATGCGGACCTACTACCATCAGTTTATCCCTACAACTCTTTGCTCAATGGCTATTGCAAGGCGGGGAAACCTAGAACAGGGCATTCTATGTTGAAGAAGATGTTTGATAAAGGAATCTCCCCAAACGTTGTGACGTACACATCCTTGATAGATGGGTATTGCAAGGAAGGGGAAGTACAAAAGGCGCTTAGCCTTTTTCATGAAATGCTGGGTAAAAACGGTATCTCCCCAAACGTGTACACTTTCACCGTGATCATATCTGGTCTGTGCAATGCCAACTTGGTTGGTGAGGCAAGAAAAATCTTCGATGATGTTTCAAGCCCAAATGAGGTCACATATAACGTCATGATCGAAGGGTATTGTAGAGCAGGAAACATAACCATTGCCCTTCAACTGTTTGATGAAATGTCTGAGAAGGGTCTTGTCCCCGATACATACACTTATAGGTCACTGATATCCGGTCTTTGCTCTTTGGGCAAAGCAAAGGAGGCAAAAAAAATCATGGCAGATCTTAAAAGAGAAAACTGTAAACCGATCCAGATGTGCTTATCTGCTCTTCTCCATGGTCTCTTTATCTCCAGAAGAGTCAAAGATGCATTTGCCACCACTGATGGGATGAAGATGGATATCGTTTGTTACGGTGCACTCATAGACGGGGCATTAAAGCATGATAAGAAACAATTAATGAGGATATTGAAGAAGATGCATGAAGAAGGATTGAGTCCAGACAATGTGATATACACTAACATCATTGATTCATACGGGAAAGATGGCGATCTTCGGAATGCGTTTGGCTATTGGGAAATTATGGAGAGTGAAGGGATCATTCCAAATGTGTTAACGTACACTGTGATGATAAATGGTTTGTGTAAGGTGGGATTAGTTGATAAAGCTGAGGCTTTTTGCAAAGAGTTGTTATCCGTTGGTTTGATACCAAACAAGTTTACTTATGCTTGTTTTCTTGACTGGTTAACCCGAGCTGGGTCGATAGAAAAAGCTGTGGAGCTGCATAACACAATGCTTGAGGGCTTTCTTGGAAGTGTTGTCACTTATAATATACTCATTCGGGGGTTTTGTGAATTGGGCGAAATTGATAAAGCTACTGATACATTAGTTGAAATGAGAGAGAAAGGGATGTTTCCTGATTGTGTCAGTTTTTCCACGGTCATCAATGCATTTTGTAGGGGAGGTGATTTAAAGGGAGCGCTAAGGTTGTGGGGGTCCATGATTGATGGTGGGCTCCAGCCCGACAGGGTGGCTTATGATATTCTAATATATGGTTGTTGTGTTGCTGGAAAACTGGATAAGGCAGTTAAGTTGCGTGATGAAATGGTAAGTAGAGGTCTAAGGCCCAATAAGAGAACACAGGCTTTACTGCCCTATTGAATCTTATTATTTGTAAATCCTGTAATATAGACATGTCTCTGTACACTTTGTAAACACAAAATGAAGTATTGAACTTATCGTTTGTACCATCAAATTTGGGAAACTATCACTCCAATCCAATTTGGTAGCTCCTATGATGATTTATTTTGTGTTGTACTCCGTATGAGTTACGGTATACTTAATTCTATGGTAGATGACTAGATTCTATGGTACCCTAAAGGTACCATACCTTTGTCCACATGGACCAATTAGAATGATGCAGTTGAATTATTTAAATCTAAATTAAAAATGATATAACGATTTGGACCAATCAAGTGATTGGTAGGTACGGTACCCCAATTTTTAAATGGGTACCGGAGTTGTCACCTAATTCTATATTGCATTTGATGAATTTTTCTTCACAAAAGTTTATTATTTTAATAATATTAAATAATATTCTAAATTTTTAAAATGAAAAAATAATAAAATTCATGATAACTTAGGTTCTACTAGATTGATAGTTTTCAATTTTGACTTTATACCAACACATTTCATCTTTTCACGTCTTGGATTGATATCTCCTTTATCATTTTTCTGATCATAAAAGGTGGACTGGGTAAGAATGAGGTGCATATGGCATGTGACGAAGACACCCTTTGGCACCATAACTACAAGTTGCGTGATAATGATTTGTGTTTAAAATCACCAAAATGACAAGTGTGAATGTCTATCCTTGTAATCAGGACATTAAACAAACACAAATCCTTGTAATCGCACACATGCTTAGATTCAATACTGCCAGCAAATTATGTTGAATCATCTCTAAGCTTGGCTAGTATAAATAGGACTTGTTCCATTCATTGTAAACTCACTCAGAAATTCAGAAATTTCAGATATTAAGAAGAAGTAGAATATCCAGAGTTTTTTTTATGCAATGAACCTTTTTTTCTAAATCCCGGACATGCCACTGAAAGTGGGGAAAGCGCCGGGGAACACTTTCCAATTTATTAAGAAAAGGATTACAAGTACAAAGTTCGATAAAGGAAAGTACAAGATAAAGTCACAAGAGAAAGAGTTAACAAATAACATTCGTTGTAGGCACACCTACATTGGTTGAGAGCATACAGTTTTATTTATGGTGAAAATGGATAGCTTGTCGGAGATAAGGAGGGTACGACTTTGCATCTGGGTGTGCTGACTTATAGCATTCGAGTTCGGTTACTAGATTTTGAGGTGAATCATAGTTGAGCAAACCGGGTAGATGTAATAGTCTTCATCATCTTGGAGCGGTTTTGATTGACTTCTAGTTATCAATCCTTCTGTGAAGTCATCTATTTTATGGCTTCGTGATTGACTTCTGGTAACCATAGGGTGAGAAGAGTTTTCCTTACGGTTGTCCTTGTTCATTTCGGGAGAGTTAATCTGTGCTGGGAGCGCCTCAAGGTCCTCGTCTTCAAATGTGATGTGCGGTTTGATGGCACATGTTGTCAAAATATCCAACTCAAAAATTGCTTTGGAGGGGGATGTATAGTTCTGTGTGTCTTCACTGTTTCTGTGACAAAAGAGTATCGAATCCAGCTGTGTCTAATTGTGAAGTCCCACAAAGTTCAAGAACATATTTAGAAAATCAATGAGACTTGATTTTCTCTGTCCCATTGGAATAAGGACATAGCTCCATCTTCTTTCACAATTTGTAAAAAATTGCATGACTTAAAAGATTCAGAAGAAACTGTGATGTTTCCAAATTTGCATAGTTGGAACACATTAGAAACCTCCTTAGTGAGTTTAGTGATAAAATGGAGCATTTGAGTGACTAAATCCAATTTGATATTAATCTTATGAAGAAAATTATTTTTTATTTGAAAATTGAAAATTTCATTTTTATTTTTTGCAAATTTGAAATTTTTTTGTTCAATTTGAATTGAATCAAAACCATAATTTTTCAGAATTTGGGATAACTTCACTTAAGTGTTCGACCAAACCAGAATTTTGTAAAATGCTCAATTGAGCAGCCTGGTGACAAATTTTGTTCGCATCACACCTCACCAGATCTGCCCATGTGAAGGGACAGAAGGTGCCAAGCTAAGTGGTCTCCTCGACAGCTTGATTGAATGCCTCAGGTCTGTCAACCAACGTACCTTGTGCTGACGTTGATGGTTCCTCCAGCGTGTAGGTCTGTCGCCGGTGCGTTGCTGAAGTTGATGTTTTCGCGGGTGAGTTGGACTTGGCAAATAAATCCGTCGATACGGATTGGTCGCGTACGACCGTCCTTTGACATACCAGCACACTTTACAGGTGAAGGTGGGTCTGCCGGTGATGTGGCTGGCCAGTACAAATCTCTGAATTTCACCCTCTTCAAGAGCGATTGGGTCATCTATTGAACGGGTTTGACTTTTCCATTTCCTCTTGTTGAGACTGTTTACATCCGGTTGTTTTTTAAGTATCGCCGCGGTGATGTTGTTCAAAAGGTTTAGAATTAAGTGAGCAGATCGTGTCATCTTCCGAAACTAACGAGCTGAAACGATTGGGATGACCTGGGATCCGATGGATGACGTCGTTCAGGGATATGGTGTTCGTAGTAGGCGCCCTGACTGTGATGAGTCAGAGTCCGGTTGTCTAAGATCCTGAAGTCATTTCCGGCTCGATCTGTTTGCTTGGTTCCTGGATAAAGATGCACCAGCGTGATGCCATCGTCCTAAATTTGCTTGAGGTAGTAGGAATAATCAGTACCTTGTGCGAGCGTTTCTTGCCTGGTGTACATGAAGAATGGATCCACAACCGGGAGGCAGCCTACCAATATTGTCCGCTTTGGGTTGTCCTTCACGGATTTAAAATGCGTAGATAGTGGTGAAGAACCTAGGCCTTATAAGGTACCAAGGACTCTCCTAGCCCACACCGATGTGGGATTCTTTGACATTCCTACCGAAAAGGCGGGTTTAAGATGCGCGAGTTTCCCCGGCTCAAGGGACTGGTAGACCCATACCTAACAGTACAGAACCGAAGCTTTGCTTCCAGGGATTCCACCATGGCTTGGAGCTTTTTTGCGACCAGTGTCCATAGTTGTTGGTGATTTTAGTGTCACCGGCCGTTTTGTGTAATTTGAAATGACACGAGTGCCAATGGGAATTAGAATTATGATCTAATACAAGTTAGTAGATGTGGAGTGCACACTTGTATATAAGAACTAGTTTAATTCCAAAGTGTCCACGTTAGTGGAACTCGAGGTAGCACTTGAGGTATAAGTTTCAGTAGACCAGCTCTGTGGTTCTAGACCGAGTTCTAGAACGGTTAGGCAGTTTCCAGTAGTTTCCCAAAAACTGCTGTGGTTATTCTTAAACGTATTGCAACTGTCTAGGACGGTGAATATGGATATATATATCACCATATTTCGTACAGAGGAGTATGAGGAAACATATCCAACATATCATCATCACTTTGGCACTCAAATTAAAGATAACAATCCATATACTAGACTAGTTTGGCTCTAGTTCTTGTGTCTAAGTTCTAGAGTGTCTTTAAGGATTATCCTAGATTAAATTTCTTGTAACCCAGGCATAGGGGAGAAATATCAATTCAGAAAGTGAACTTACACGATCCTTAAGCAATCCAAGTACTCAATTATCACCCCCTATGTGATATACCCCAACAATCGAATTGATATTTTCTTTGTGATAATTATGAGTACCGTGGAAGAGATGACATCCAAGTTCAACAAATTGGACAAATTTCAAGGGAACGATTTCCGTAGATGGCAAAAGATGATGCACTTCCTGCTCACCACTTTGAAGGTTGTGTACGTGTTGAGCACTCTGATGCCGAAAGTGATGGAGAACGAAACCTTGGAACAAATTAGGAGGCGTAACAAGTGAGAGAACGATGACTACATATGTAGAGGCCACATTCTTAACGGTATGTCCCATGCGTTATTTGATATTTACCAAAACGTTGAGAGTGCGAAGGAGTTGTGGAATTCTCTTGAGTCAAAATACATCGCTGAGGATGCTTCTAGTAAGAAGTTCTTAATTGGTGAGTGATTTTAATAATTATAAAATGGTTGACTCAAGGCCGGTTATGGAACAATACAATGAACTCCTTCGTGTTACGTTCTTGGTCAATTTAAACTCCACAAGATAGGTGTTGATGAGTCCTATGTCATGTCGAGTATAATTGACAAACTTCCACCCTCTTGGAAGAATTTTAAACGTTCTTTAAAACATCAAGATGAGGAACTGTCATTGGTTCAACTTGGGAGTCACTTGCGCATTGAGGAGAATCTTCGTGTGCAAGAGAATGATCAAATTATGAGTGAAGTTGAATCTAGACTGGCTCATGTTCACTTGGTTGAGGATAATAAATCTAACCCGAAAGAGAAGGGGAGAGGCAAAAAGCGCAAGTATGGAGACCATGACAAACCCAACAAGAAACTGAAAGGTTTGGTTTGTTGGAGATGTCAAAAGGTTGGACATGTCAAGCGTGATTGCTGTGTGAAACTGAACAAGAATGGCGATGGAACGAGTGACAGTGGACAGGAACGGTCTAAGGACCTGGTTCCACGGAAAGGAGGTCAGTTCCTGACTAAATTTGATAATTCTGTCCAGAATTATGTATCACTCATTCCAGAATGTTTTTATGTACAGGATGATGACTGTGCATGGTGGATTGACTCGGGGGCTACGAGCCATGTGTGTAAGGATAAAGGATTCTTTGAAGACCTAGAACCAGTGGAGGTCAGTTCCTTCTTACGTGTGGGAGATGAGTCAATGGTGCCTATCTTGGGAAAGAGTGTAGTTGTTTTAAAATTTACTTCTGGAAAAACAATTACGTTGTTTGATATTTTGTATGTACCGAAGGTTCCAAAGAATCTTGTTTTGGGATGTATGTTGAATAATTTAGGGTTCAAACAAGTGATTGAATCCGATAAATATATTATGTCCAAGGGTGGTGTGTTTGTTGGTTTTGGATATTTATCAAATCGCATGTTTCGTTTGAATGTTGTGAATAAATTAATTTCTAGTGATAATTCTGTTTTTGTGGCATCTTCAATGAATGATTGTATGATTTGGCATGCTAGATTAGCTCACGTTAATTTTAGAAAAATGCATGAAATGTCTAAAGATGGTTTAATTCCGACTTTTGATATTAATGATGATAAGTGTAGGACTTGCATGCTTACTAAGATCACAAAACATTCGTTTCCTAATGTTGAAAGGAATTCGGCTATTTTGGATCTTGTACATAGTGATCTATGTGATTTTCACTCAACTCCTTCCCTTGGCAATAAAAAGTATGTTCCTACTTTTATTGATGATTCAACTCGGTTTTGTTATGTGTATTCATTGCACACTAAGGACGAAGCTTTAGAGAAATTTAAAGTGTATAAAACCGAGGTTGAATTGCGATTCGGTAATCCAATTAAATGTCTTAGGACTGATCGGGAAGGAGAATATATGGATCCCCATTATTTTCAATCTGTTGGAATCATTCATGAGACCACGGCTCCGTATACACCACAACAAAATGGTGTGGCCGAACGGAAAAATTGAGTGTTAAAGGAAATGGTTAATTCCATGCTTTCCTACTCGGGTTTGAGTGAAGGGTTTTGGGGAGAGGCCATGCTCACGTCCTGCTATGTTCTAAATAGGGTTCCAAATAAAAGGAACAAGACAAACTCATATGAGCTTTGGTACAAGAAAGCGCCGAATTTGAAATATTTTCGGGTTTGGGGTTGTAGGGCGGTTGTAAAATTACCCGAGCCCAAAAGGAAAACTTAAGGGGAAAGGGGAATTGATTGCATATTCATAGGGTATGCTGAACATTCCAAAGCTTATAGGTTTTATGGAATAGAACCTAATGATGCGGTAGCGGTTAACACCGTGATTGAGTCTCTGTAACACCCCGGCCCCGTAGGCCCCGAGGTAGTTACTTCTGACCTCTAGCATTGTCCTCACAAACCGCCACTAGCCTTTTCCGTGCACTTTGTCCTCACTCATGCGCGCTCTGAGAAACTTCTCAGGGGGTCACCCATCTCAAGACTACTCCTGTGCAAGCACGCTTAACTTTGGAGTTCTTGGCTAATGAGCTCCCTTAAAAGGAGATGCACCTTGTTGGTATGAGTAGTACTATTAATCCATTTAAATTAAATCTCAAGTGTTACAATCACCCCACTTAGGAACGCAACGTCCTCGTTGCGCCCGTAAACCAATCTCAATCATATCCCAGAATCTATTCCCCTGCTAAGTGCCCACCCGATATCCAACGGATCAGCACACTATCGCATGGTTGCTCTGATACCATTTGTAACACCCTGGCCCCGTAGGCCCCGAGGTAGTTACTTCTGACCTCTAGTACTGTCCTCACAAACCGCCACTATACTTTTCCGCGCACTTTCTCCTCACTCGTGCGCGCCCTGAGAAACTTTCCAGAGGGTCACCCATCCCAAGACTACTCCTGTGCAAGCACGCTTAACTTTGGAGTTCTTGGCTAATGAGCTCCCTTAAAAGGAGATGCACCTTGTTGGTATGAGTAGTACTATTAATCCATTTAAATTAAATCTCAAGTGTTACAGTCTCAGGATGTGATCTTTGATGAGATGAGATTTTCATCAATTCAAATACCAAAGGAACTAGTTCCAAGAACTAGTGAGGTGCAAGTTCCAGAATGTTTGGATGGTGCTTTGAATCCTGAAGCACCACAAATAAGGAAAACCAAACGAGGCCGCATCGTGAAAGACTTTGGTCCCGATTTTCAGTTGTATTTAGTGGAAGTTTCAAGGGACGAAGTGGGGGTACAATACTTATATTGTTACCAAGTTGAGGATGATCCAAAGACCTTTAAAGAGGCAATGGAATCCCGAGATGCTGCCTTTTGGAAGGAGGCAATTGATGATGAAATGTCATCAATTATGGAGAACAACACTTGGGTGTTGTCGGATTTTCCACCGGGTTCTAAACCCTTAGGTTGCAAATGGATCTTCAAAAAGAAGATGAAAGTGGATGAAACTGTTGATAGGCCTGGGATCGGTTCGGTTCCGCTTAAAAAATGATGGAACCGTTTATAATAACGTAACTCTTAAATTCGGTTCGGTTCCAATAAAAAAAATCAAGAACCGTTTGAGAACTGAATGATGTGTAAACGGTTCGGTTCTGGGCTTTTTTCGGTTCCTATTTTTTTCTTTCTATACCTTGAAAATTAACTTTTTAAGTTCTGCTATATAAACAAAAGTAGTTGAATTTACGATTTTCACAAGGCTCACAAAAACATCCAGATTCATACATTCCAAAACATACACATAAGACAAAACATTAGTAATCTCAAACATTAGTAAACAGAACACATAAGACATTAATTAAGTTGAGTTCATAATTCAGTTCACAAGTGAAACATGTAGTTAGCAAAAAGTTTTAGGTTTCCAAGACGTTTCAGTTGCAAAAATGCAAATGTAGTGTAACACGTCCAACGCCAAACCTGCAAATAAAAACACTAAATCAGTTTTAAAGTAAATAACTACATTACAAGTATTTTATTATTGTTTCAGCTTTTTCTATGCAAAATGCCTTAGAAACTCTGATATGTGAACAATTGATATTAGCTCAACTTTACTGTTTTTCTTTATGTTAACCAAAGTTTAGTTCAACTTTATTTTCAACAAATTCAAATTTCAAGAGCCTCATCTTCAATTTAGTGTAAGTATTACACTATTTTACAATAGAAAGTAATATGCAGGAAACCAACTAACCTACAAAAGTACTTGATAAATATGGTGTTGCTTTTCCTCCATCATGTTTTCTGCAATTTTGAGGCTTTGGGGGGCTTTGCTGCCTTTTCTGCAGCACTCTTCTCTCTTTTTTCTTTTTCATCATTTTCATGTTCTGCAATGATAAAGATTTATATAACACTTTAGTATTAAGGGCAGAAATAAATACGATTTAGAGTTCAGAATAATAAATAACAAAGTAAAGTGTGTGTATCACAAAGTCAGTTACTCAAACATACCTTTCTCTACCATTTCAAGCCACAACATTTCCTCGGGTGTCGGAGTGTACTCCAAGCCTTGAATACTATTGGATTTTAGCCAATTTTGGAGGCAAATTAAAGCCTCCACAGTTCTGGGAGTTAATGAACTCCGGTGTGGATCAATCACCCTCTTTCCAGTACTGAAGGAAGATTCAGATGCGACTGTGGAGACTTGAATTGCTAACACATCCTTAGCCACTAATTGCAGATTAGGGTACTTGCTTCCGTTAATCTTCCACCAAGTCAATATCTCAAAGTCAGTCCCTTTAGGAGGCTTTTCTATGGGATCAAGTAGATACCTATCTACTTCACTACCTACAATAATTGTATCACCCTTTTCCAATTCTCTATCCCAATCCTCAAGAAGTTCAGCCATTTTTCCACTTACACCACTCGAATGATAGCTGCTACAATGATTATCAGGAGTTTGTTCTTGCACTTTGCTGCCTTTTTGAGTACCAAATGCTGAAGCGTATGCATCAACTAAACTGGTAAGTAAGTCCTTGACTTCTTCAACTTTTTTTTCCACCATTTTATCACCTAACTTCAGCATCTTTTCGCATATTCTTTGAAAGTTTAACAGCTTATATCTTGGATCCAAGACTAAAGCTACCAACAATAACTGATTGCAATCATCTACTGATCCAAAATATTTTTTATACTTGCTTCTCATTTTGACAGCCATTTGTGATAACAAGTTTTCAGATTCACTTTCAACTTCACTTCCATCTCCTTGTGATGAATGTTGACGCGTAAACAAGTCCTCAATTTCAGACTCAATTGTGATCAGATGATGAAAAGCTTTGGGAGAAGTGGGGCGGTTTGTTGCACTCACACTCACTGTAACATCAAAGAAAATTTTCAGAAAATTTACAAACACAACAGACTTGTCCCAATCTACTTCAGTTGGTGGTCCAACTCTTCGCCGTTGTGGTGCAACAACATTTCCTTCATCTTCCTCGTCTACTTCCTCATTCTCATCAAAGTAACTCTTCCACCTCTCATCCTCCTCTTCAGCCATTCTATCAAATCCTCTTCTAAGTTGCAGTGCAGTATCTAGCATAATGTATGTAGAATTCCACCTTGTTGGAACATCTAGAACACACACTTTATTGACGTTCAAGTTTTCATTTTGGACACAAACCTTAAAAAAATCAAGCCTAGCCGGTGAGCTTCTAACGAACCTAACTCCATTTCTAATGCTAGATACTGACTTGTCAAGTATATGCAAACCAGACTTAACAATAAGATTGATGATGTGAGCCAAGCACCTCACATGAAGAAATCTCCCTCCAAACAATTGATGTGGGTCAATATTGGATAGTTTCTTCCGAATATAATCAATCGTTACCTTGTTGGCAGAAGCATTGTCTACGCTAATAGTCAAAATCCTTTTGATTCCCCATTATAGTAAACAACACTCAAGAATTTTACCTATTGTCTGTCCTTGATGGTTTGGAATAAGACATAAATTAAGAACTCTTTTGTGCATTCGCCATCCATTGTCTATGAAATGAGCTGTAATAACCATGTAGTTTATGTTTTGAACTGAAGTCCACGTATCAGTTGTCAAACATACACAATGGTTACTAAGCTCCTTCTTTAATTCTGCCTTTTTTTATCATACATCCCTAAAAAAGTTTTCACTATGGTTTTCCTACAGGGAATAATGAATTTAGGGATTGCTACTTTGCAAAACCTTCTAAATCCAGGCTTTTCAATGAAACTAAAAGAGAGTTCATCGATGACAATCATCTCAGTTGCAGCAATGACACAATTTTCTTGACTCCATTTCAGAACAACTTCATCGGATCCATCAAAATTCAAATGAGTTTGACCTTTACTTAAATCTGTCCTACCAGGATATTCATTGCAAACTTGCTCAATATGCTTCCTAAGACTACTAGTTCCATTGTTAGTAGAATGACAAGCAAGGTGAGTAGGGCAATACTTACATTGTGCTCTCTTTGTATTTCCAACAACGGTTTCTATTCCATTGATGGTCTCAATGATAGGGTGATCTACCTTGATAAAGTGCTGCCAGATTTTAGATCGCTCTGTTGCCACAGTAGTGTTGCTTTTTCTCTTCCTTCTCACTGGAGTAGACTTTGCCTTTTTAGTAGGCTGCACTTTATAGTCTTTCTCAATTGATTCTTCAACTTCAGCACTACCATTTTCACTTCCAGTAGCATGGATGTTATCAACATCTATAGTTGATTCCATGTTAGCCTGCATCACATAGAAAGTATAAATATTCCTTGTTAGTGTGCCCAAGTCATTCTTAATGAACAAGAAAAACTGATTGAGTTTATAAAATACCAAGTTTAGTGACTTAAAAGAAATCATGTGAAGAACTTATGAAGTTAACAATGTACAAAGTTGCAAAAATTTAGAGTTGATAAACTGATTTAATAAATCTGTGAACATTGATTTTAATTTTAAATTCAAATACTAGTTTTCTGTTTTCTAAGTCTCCAACATGCATATGAGAAAGGAATAAATCCCTTAAATTACGTATGACAAAGAAAGGAGATTGAGATCATTGGTCTAGTAAGGGCTCCTGTGTTAGAGCTATATTCTATATGAATATAGAAGCAAAAGATTAGAAAATCCATCATTTTTCTGTTTTAGACTTTTCATCGAACAACTGGTGTGCAACCTATACTTTATTAGTTCAACTTTCAACTGAAATAAAACTCCTCACCCAACTGACCCAAGGCCTGAGAAGCATAATGGGAGTCATCAAATTCATCACCAATGGCAATATATAAACGGTCTATTCCTACCTATTAGGAAGTAAAAGAATGAATGAAGGTTGTAAACATTAACTAAAGAATATTTTTGTTTCTTGACTAATAGTTGAGGGATGTATTTGTTTATTAACTTAAAATCATATGATCCATGACTATATAAAGTATCCCCAATTATCTATCAATAAATATTTACAACTAAAAAATAAAGTAGGAGTTAGAGGAAACCTAAATATCTTGTAGAGGGAGTATGAGCAGTGCCTTAATAGTCCAAAAATCAAAGGATTTGAAAGGGCTTCAAAAGATGAACATGTTAGAAGGGCTTCAGAAGCAGCAGTTCAGAGTTCAGACTAGAAAACTTTAGAGCGAGGTCGTGTAAGTTACTACGTTAGAGCGTAAACTTTAAAGGTTTACAGACCTAATTTATTACTCTGGGCCAGCCCATCACCCTAAATTTTATGCAAGTATATATTATCTTCGGTTCCTAGTATATATTATTTTCTTAAACCGGAACCGAACCGTTTGTAGTATTCTAAGAACCGAACCGAAAAACCTTAATTCTCTATTGTCAGGAACCGAACCGAACCGGTGATTTCGGTTCGGTTCGGGTCGGTTTTCCCGGTTTTCCGGTTCCAAGTCCCAGGCCTAACTGTTGACATGTTCAAGGTTCGGTTGGTCATTCAAGGTTTTAAACAAAAACCCGGAATTGACTATTTTGATACGTATGCGCCGGTTGCTTGAATTACAACCATTAGGTTGTTAAATGATTTGGCGGCTATACACAATCTGATTTTTAAATGGTGATCTTGATGAGGAAGTTTACATGAAACAATCGGAAGGTTTTGTTATGCCGGGAAATGAGCATAAGGTTTGTAAACTTGTCAAATCATTGTATGGGCTGAAACAAGCACCCAAACAATGGCATCAAAAGTTTGATGAAGTTATTTTGTCCAATAGTTTTAGTTTAAACCAATTGGACAAATGTATCTATAGCCGATTTGATGCCTTAAGGGTGGGTGTGATCATATGTCTCTATGTTGATGACATGCTGATTTTTTGAACTGACCAAAATCAGGTTGATGAAACCAAAAGGTTGTTATCATCAAGGTTTTCCATGAAGGACATGGGGGAGGCAGATGTGATCCTTGGTATAAGGATTAAACGAGTAAACAAAGGGATTGCTTTGACACAAGCTCACTATGTTGAGAATATTCTCAAAAGGATTAATTATAGTGATTGTTCACCTGTTGGTACTCCCATAGATCCTAGTGTGAAGTTGATGCCTAATAAAGGAAAGGTGGTATCACAACTTGAGTAATCTCAAGCCATTGGTAGTCTGATGTATGCCATGACAAGCACTCGGCCGGATATTGCTTATGCCGTGGGTAGGTTGAGGCGGTTTACTAGTAATCCTAGTACTCAACATTGGCACGCAATGAAGAGTGTTCAAGTATTTAAAGGGAACCATGGATTATGGTTTGTCTTACTTTGAGTATCCTTCGGTTTTAGAGGGATATTCGGATGCAAGTTGGATATCCAATGTAGAGGATCATTCTTCTACAAGTGGTTGGGTATTCTTTTTTGGGGGAGGTGCCATTTCTTGGGCATCCAAGAAGCAAACTTGTATCACAAGTTCAACGATGGAATTTGAGTTTGTTGCGTTGGCTACCACCGGTAAAGAGGCGGAATGGTTAAGAAATTTAAGTTTTGAGATTCCATTGCGGGGGAAGCCGATTGCACCTATTTCTATCCATTGTGATAGTGCTTCCACTTTGGCTAAGGCGTATAGTCATGTTTATAATGGCAAGTCTAGACACTTAGGTGTTAGATATAGTATGATTAGAGAACTAATCATGAATGGTGGAATTTGTAAGATCGTAACATAACTTGGCGGACCACTTGACCAAAAGTTTGGCCCGAGACTTAGTGCACAAGTCTGTTATAGGGATGGGTTAAAAGTCCAATTAATCCTTAATGGTGAGACACCCAATTCCCCTCTAATACAACGTTAGAGGCTGAATTCAATGCGGAAAGCTCACACTTAATGGATTGGAACACACAATGAAAATCATCCCAAGGTGTGTGTTCGGACCTGTAGTAGAGAGGCTGAATTTATTTCTTAATAATTCCTTTGATAAAGTGTAAGCAGGTACACGAGTAAAAGAATTACCTATATGATCGTGAATTGTAGCCGCACTTCAAAAAGATTGGGATTTGGCTTTTATACGATCATGAATGGGATTAGGACACACGGCTTTATAATTGTGTCAAGTTTGTATTCTAGTTGAGTATAGAAACTTGTATGTATTTTATCTTGAGGTATTCAAATGGGTTGAAGGGTTCAATCTGTAGGACACCCCGATTCTCGAATATTTTGAATGTGTAAAATACTAAGATGAAAATTTAATCGTATCGACATTTCCATTTATGTGCAAGTTTTGGTTTGTAAACTTTGTTATGTCATTTCATGGGTTACACTAAAATGGGGGAGGATTGTTGGTGATTTTAGTGTCACCGGTCGTTTTGTGTAATTGGAAATGACATGAGTGCCAATGGGAATTAGAACTATGATCTAATACAAGTTAGTAGGTGTGGAGTGCACATTTGTATATAAGAACTAGTTTAATTCCAAAGTGTCTACATTAGTGGAACTCGAGGTAGAACTCGAGGTATAACGACTTTCAGTAGACCAACTCTGTAGTTCTAGACCGAGTTCTAGAACGGTTAGGCATTTTCCAGCAGTTTCCCAAAAATTGTTGCGGTTATTCTTAAACGTGTTGCAACTGCCTAGGAAGGTGAATATGGATATATATATCACCATATTTCGTACAGAGGAGTATGAGGAAACATATTCAACATATCTTCATCACTTTGGCACTCAAATTAAAGATAACAATCCATATACTCGATTAGTTTGGCTCTAGTTCTTGTGCCTAAGTTCTAGAGTGTCCTTAAGAATTATCCTAGATTGAATTTCTTGTAACCCAGGCATATGGGAGAAATATCAATTCGGAAAGTGAACTTACACGATCCTTAAGCAATCCAAGTACTCGATTATCACCCCCTACGTGATATACCTCAACGGTTGTTAGTGTTGAGGTAGTAGGAATCATTCCCACATGTTGTTGTGTGTTGAGGAATCCCGCTTGAGAATTCCCAGAGCTCCATTTCCGGTCATAAATTTTTGTTGTGTTGTGTGTTCTTGAATTTGGTGCCGAATATCCAGATGTTATAATCTTTATATCTATCTCGTATCTATACTTTATCAGCACGAATCTGCTCAAAATCTTCAAGAAATCATCATCTCCTGCAGGATAACATCTATTGTCTTCTTTTAGTATTCAAACCTGAAAATTATTCTCCCTTTTAAATAAATTTTCTATGATATATGGAAAGTATATAGATAACATGCCTTCAAGTATTCTTCAATCCGAATGAACTCTTCACAAAAGAAATGAGAGGTATATACACCATAATAATTAAAGAAGAGAGAATTTTGCACTTGTAGTAATCTGTGTACTCTAATTAAGAAGGTTGACGCCTAGTTGTTTTAAATAATACGGAGTACGCGTAAGAAGAGGGATGAAGTTAAATGAGCTGCTGAAATAAACACAAGACATATAAAATATAAGCAAAGGGAAAATCGCACATTTGACCCCCCAATTATCCACCATATTGAAATCTCAAACCCGTGTTTCGGGTTTTCTAAATTTCACCCCGAGTTGTCCGAATAATTATAAATGTCACCCCTGCCGTTATAAATTTCACCTCCGAGTTGTACGAATAATTATAAATTTCACCCCCGAGTTGTCCGAATAATAATAACGGCAGGGGTGACATTTATAATTATTCGGACAACTCGGGGGTGAAATTTAGAAAACCTGAAACACGAGTTTGGGATTTCAATATGATGGATAATTGGGGGGCAAATGTGCGATTTTCCCTATAAGCAAATTAAAACTAGTCACGAGTGAAAGCATGCACAAATTCACAAACTCCGATGTATATTACATCTATTCATGCAACAGATGTCCACTAAGTAAGACTTATGTATTTTATCAAGGCTTCATGTATGCTTTATTGGCCACGTAGCTCTTACACTAAACATTATTGAATGGTTTATTCGGTTGTTTTTGTTTTTACCAGTTACAACAAAACACAACAAATAAATTTTATTAAGTTCACTTGTGAATTTGGGATGACAGTACATACAGTACTGACGCCATACAAATTCCAGAATTTTAATTTTAAGAATCTATGTATATGGAGTATTTTGGTATTCCATTCGAATATGATGTACTCCCTCTGTTCCTATTATATCTTTCATTTCACTTTGATACACAATTTAAGAAAAGTGTGTATTGTATGGTGGAGAGTTGTGCAGAAGAGGGAGAAATGTGTAAGAAATGTTGTGAACCACAAATTCTTTACCAAAAAGGGAAAGTGGAAGTTTAATTGGAACGGATGAAAAAGGAAAGTTTGAAGATATAACAGGAATAGATGGAGTATCAGTTTATTTTAGTTAATGCTTATATAGTTATACACATACCTATACTACGTATAAAATAAACTTTATTACTGGTGCATATTCAAATTTGGTGATATTAAATCAAATGCATAAAAATAATTTTATATTAAAAAAAGGTAATAGTGCATACATCCTTGTTAAGTAATTGTTAAGAATAGGAGTAAGGATGCAACAATAGGAGCGGATAATTTAAATTCCCAAAATAGGAGTTTGAATTCCTATTGTACCCCTTCCCATTTATGGTTTTCTTTTCTTTCGTTCTGTCATACGTATTCCATCCCTACTCCTCATCCCATATCTCCTCTCTCCTTCCCATTCCTATTCTTGTCATGCCATGTATTTTTTCCTTTTCCCTTCACTAATTCACTTTGGGAAGACCTTCAACTATCCTGTGGGATTCGAAGATGCTTGAACAGATCTAAAATTCTTCATACATCGGGTGGATTTGAAGACGCAATGTATAAATCTATAGATCTCCCTTCTGTAGATCTAAAAAAATCATTCATCTTATGGAATTTAGAGGCAGCACAAGAGACGACGTTTCTCCCCACCTCCGGCCAACGTTCTTATTTTAGAGGCAATGGACGGCGATTCAGAGGCAGTGCCTCAATGGATGGCCGACCCGCAAATTTCAATGATGGTGTCCAATTGAAAGGCATGTTTTCTTCCACTTCTGTTTTCTTCTATTTTTTTATATTCTCCATTAATTGTTTTATTTACTTTGGAAATTTTGGATTTTAAAACTTCAATGGCATGTGATTGAAAAAAAAATTAGATTTAGTTTTTAAATCTCTAAATTTATTTACTTTGCATCTGAAAATCCCACTTTAATGAAATTACAATTTTTATAATGCCATATTTTTTGAGCTATTTGATAAATAATTCCATTTTACATGTAAAAGATTGCACCCACTATATCAACTTGGACTTGGCTCTTTTGCCTCTGAATGACCACTGATCGAAACAGTTTGGAATTGGTTTTAAAAATTTAAAAATTAATCAATTTGCATATGAAAATACAACTTTTGTGAAATTACATTTTTTATAATGCCATATTGCTATGTTCTACGAAATTTTTGGCAAATAATGTCATATACATGTACAAAGATGGCATTCACTTTAATAAGTTGAAACTTTGTGTCATGTTTTACACCTACAAATGTCATGTTTTTATACGATAATGTCATTTTTATTTTAACTTGGCAATACATATTCATAGTTCAACACCTTTATGAAGAAGACAATCTAGCTAGCTAGAGGTCGGAAATTGAATCGCGAGATGAGGAGGCAGATGCTTTTAAAGAGTTGGCTGTGGCGGTGGAGGAGATGGCGGTGGTACGGGATGACATGGTTGTGATGGAAGACATGGCAGATCTAGAGTTGGAATCGCCAGAGTCAAGCGGTGGGGAAGCAGATTGGCGACGCAACAACACTAGATGACATTGGTGACGGTCTGTGGTGGTGCCGCTGGAGAGAACGGAGACGGCCGGTGGCGGTGCCGCCGGCGATGATGGAGTCCGGCACCAGATCTGATTTGGTCATACGACTGCATCTCTGTAAATTTAATTTTGTTTTTCTTTTTTCTTTTTTGCTTTATCATACAGAATACAAATGGCACCAGATTTTTAAATTTAATTTAATTTCTGGTGCCGCCGACGATGATGGAGTCCGGCACCAGAGTCAAGAGGTGACATTTATAATTATTCGGACAACTCAGGGGTGAAATTTAGAAAACCCGAAACACGGGTTTGGGATTTCAATATGGTGGATAATTGAGGGGTCAAATGTGCGATTTTCCCTTATTTATATATATTGAAGATATGGATCACTCAAATGATAAAAAGCTATGTCTGATAGACAGCGCCACAACGCACACCATTTTGAGAAATAAAATATATTTTTCTCGAATGACTTTAGTTGAAGTTAAAGTCAATACAATATTAGGTGTTGCGAAACTCATTGAAGGGTCTGGGAAAGCATATACGATGCTCCCTAACGGGACACAAATAATTATAAATGACGCTCTATACTCTATCAAATCGTGGAGAAATTTATTGAGTTTTAAAGATATGCGTCAAAATAGTTATCACATAGAAACCATGAATGAAAAACAAAGGAATATCTTTGTCTCACGACAACTAAATCTGGCACTAAATATATTTGTGAAAAAATGCCACCATATTCGTCAGGACTATATTTCACATATATTAGTTCATTCGAAAAAAATTTGGTTTCTAACACAAAGATAGAAGATCGGAAAACATTCATGTTGTGGCATGACCGTTTAGGTCACCCAGGCCAAGTAATGATGCACAAAATCATTAATACTTCACTTGGACACCCATTAAAGAATATCAAGGTTCCATTATCAAGTGATTTTCCTTGTAAGGCCTGTTCTCTTGGCAAAATGATCACCAGGCCTTCTATAAACAAAAATGCAACTGAATCACCTGCATTTTTAGAAAGGATTCAAGGAGATATTTGTGGGCCGATAGCCCCACCATGTGGACCATTTCGATTTTTCATGGTGTTGATTGACGCTTCAACACGTTGGTCACATGTCAGTCTGTTATCGACCAGAAATCTAGCATTTTCTAAACTCCTTGCTCAAATCATATAATTAAGAGCTCATTTTTCGGATCATTCTATAAAGAGAATTCGACTTGACAATCCAGAAGAATTTACATCCCAAATATTTAACGACTATTGTATGTCGATTGGGATTGATGTGGAGCACCCTGTTGCTCATGTCCATAAACAAAATGGTCTTGCTAAATCTTTGATTAAACGATTACAATTAATCGCTAGACCATTATTAATGAAGTGTAATTTACCTTCATCAACTTGGGGACATGCTATTTTACATGCAGCAAATTTAGTTCGACTTAGACCAACTGCATATCATAAATATTCCTCAATGCAATTAGTTACTGGACAAGAGCCAAACTTAGCACACATTAAGATATTTGGTTGTGCGGTTTACGTTCTGATTGCTCAACCTCATCGTACAAAAATGGATCCTCAAAGAAGGTTGGGAATTTATGTTGGTTTTGAATCTCCCTCAATAATAAAATATCTCGAGCCGATGACTGGTGACTTATTCACCGCACGGTTTGCAGACTAACATTTCAATGAGACAGTGTTCCCAACGTTAGGGGGAGAAAATAATAAATTAGACCCAAGTACGAAAGAGATAACATGGAATGCAACAGGATTATCATATCTTGACGCAAGAACAAATATATGTGAGCAAGAAGTTCAAAAGATAATCCATTTACAAAATGTTGCAAATCAGTTGCCTGATGCATTCATGGATACAAAGAAAGTGACAAAGTCACATATTCCTGTTATGAATGCCCCTGCCAGGATTGAAATCCCAACAGATTCTGAAAAATCTCGTGCAAATGATTCTTTTATACGCAAAAAGCGTCGAAGTCCACTTGGATCAAAAGATATAAAACCAAGAAAAACTAAAAGGTAGGAATTAATCTGTGATGCCAAACATGTTCATCCTTCTGAACAAGAAAATGAACAATTTGAAAATACTGGCGTAGAAAATGATATTGACAAAACAAACATCTCAAATGACGATACAACTTCCTTAAACGAGGAAGATATTCCAGATAATGATAGAAACGTTGATAATTATGAAATTTCAATAAACTACGCTTCTACTGAATGCAATGGAATCGAAAAGATATCGATATTAATGAGATATTTGTCTATGCCGTTGCCACAAATGTTATGAATGAAAACAATGACAATGAGCCAACATCAATAGAAGAATGTTGGAAATGACACGATTGGCCAAAATGGAATGAAGCTATTCAGGCTGAATTAAAATCACTTGAAAAACGTGATGTTTTTGGACCGATAGTCCCTACGCCAAAGGGCATAAAACCAGTGGGCTTTAAATGGGTATTTGTGCGTAAACGCAATGAGAAGAATGAAATCGTAAAATATAAAGTCCGACTTGTTGCCCAAGGTTTTTCTCAAATGCCGGGAATAGATTATGAAGAAACTTATTCTCTAGTAGTTGATGCAACTACATTAAGGTTTCTCATTGGCATGTCTGTTTTTGAAAGGCTGCAAATGCGCCTAATGGATGTAGTGACTGCATAATTATACGGTTCACTCGATACAGATATTTATATGAAAGTTCCCAGTGAATTCAAAATGCCTAAAACTTACAACTCAAAACCTCGAGACATGTTTTCCAATAAACTATAGAAGTCATTGTATGGACTAAAACAATCTGGACGAATGTGGTATAATCGTCTAAGTGAATATCTTCTCAAAGAAGGATATAAGAATGATCCCATTAGTCCATGTGTTTTCATTCGGTGATCAAATTCGGGATTCGCCATAATTGCAGTACATGTTGATGACTTAAACATGATTGGAACTCCGGATTAAATTGAAAATACTGCAAAATATCTTATGAAAGAATTTTAAATGAAAGAGTTCGAGAGAATCAAATTTTGTCTTGGACTTCAAATTGAGCATTCGAAGAATGGAATTTTCATCCATCAATCTAATTACACCGAGAAAGTTTTGAAGAGATTTTATATGGACAAAGCACATCCTTTGACTTCACCAATGGTGGTTCGTTCTCTCAACACACACGATGATCCATTCCGTCCCCGAGAAGACAACGAAGAAATACTCGGTCCCGGAGTACCATATATGAGTGCTATTGGAGCGTTGATGTATTTAGCTAATAATACTAGACAAAATATTGCATTTTCTGTGAATTTATTAGCTAGGTACAACTCATGTCCAACGAGGCATCATTGGAACGGGATCAAACACATATTCCGTTATCTCCGCGGTACAGCTGATCTCTGCCTATTCTACCACACAGATGAAAAAGCCGCTTTAATCGGATATGCAGACGATGCATATTTATCAGATCCTCAAAAGGCCAAATCACAAACCGGGTACGTATTTACTTATGGTAATACCGCAATCTCATGGTAATACATAGACAATAAGTAGTCATTAAACAGACAATAAATTCTTATAATAGTTCAATAGCAGAGCAGATAACGTAAAACTGGGAGGATATTGAACTTGACCTTGAATTTGGGAGAAAGGGGCTTATTAGAATCATCTAAGGGAGGATATTGAACTTGATTTCACGGAAATAGGGGGAATAGGGGAGGAGTCGCTGGAATCCGAATAGGAAGGGTAGGAGTAGTTCTCCATGGCCGTGATTGCTGCGGAATTGATTTTTCGGCCTTTGCGTGTGTTTATGGTTCCGGCGATGACGAGCGACGACCACTCTGGCGGTGATGAACAGCGGAGAAAAGGATGACGGTGATCTTGCGAAAGAAGCGTGATGCAGGAGAAGAAGGGTGAGGGCCGAAGCGTGAGGGAGAAGATGCACAAAAGTTTAGAGGCTGAAGCTGGAGGGCAAATTTGGAAAGTTAGAAATAAGTTTCCTAATCTAGAACTAAATAGGTAATACAAATGAAAAAAACATTACGTAGTATTATTTTTGTAAACGAGATATGATTTGATCCTACCGGAAGCAAATTTCTCTTCAAAATTTATGTTAATTTCAGGGGGAGTATTTGAATGCAATGCACTCTTTTTTCCTTCATCGGGTTTTTATCCCACTGGGTTTTTCCTCATAAGGTTTATAACGAGACAGTACATCCAAATACAACGACATTATAAGTCGTAATCTTTACCCCTTAATTTTCACAATAAGTTTTTAAAATATTAAATACATATTCAAGGATGAACATTCAAGGGGGGGTGTTGTAAAATCACCAAAATGACAAGTGTGAATGTAATCCTCGTAATCAGGACACTAAGCAAACATAAATCCTTGTAATCACACACATGGCTAGATTCAATACTCCCAGCAAATTATGTAGAATCATTCCTAGATGATTCATCCCTAAGCTTGGCTAGTATAAATAGGACTTGTTCCATTCATTGTAAACTCACTCAGAAATTCAGAAATTTCAGATATTAAGGAGAAATAGAATATCCAGAGGTTATAATCTTTATATCTATCTCATATCTATACTTCATCTTCTTCATTTCACAACACTATGGAGGTAATCAATTAATTAAAGTATCTTCATATACTTTTATAATTCTCTACTCCAATTCAATGGTCCAGTTCTATGTACACAAGTTCAAAATCTCGCATTCTCGCCAGGAATTCAACAATTAATTCAAAATTGAACTTTTTGTTTGTCTGGTTTATCTTTCAATTTTTTCCCGTGTATTTTTATTACTAATGGAGTATAATTTCAACTAGAAGAGCTAAATATGAAGGGTTAGATATGTGTGAGAGAAAATATTTTGGGAGCGTAAGGAAGTATTAATATTCCAGAGGCAAAGCGGCCTTTTAGGGTAATTACAAGGAATATTTATAGCTATGATGCTACTATTGCACTAGAAGACATAAGGGTAATAACTTCTGCATTTACTGCCTCCTTTATGCACATAGCTCTTCAGGTTTATTTTCCACCGCTACTAGATAGCCATGCATTCATACATGACTTGTCACGTAAGCTCTACGGAGAGTCCGATCTCGCTAGAACCCCAACCAAGCTCGAGACCTCGTGTCCAGGTTGGCCTGGGTACGATTGATCCTGAAAGGGTCGTGATCCCCCTGTTTAGAACGAAATGGCATTATCCGTCAATCTCGTGCCCTTGGTTTTTCTTGGACTAGGTCGCTGTTACTTGTTAGGATATTGTCAAAGCCCGTAGTACTACCACGAACCCCTACTCTCTTAAATCAGTCGGGCTCGATTTAAGAGAGTAACCAATTTTCTTTTTTGAATTTCTTCTAAAGCGGGAGCGCCGCATTCATTTTATCCTTTCCTAAAACTTCGCGGGTACGGAGCTAACA